GAGCCCGATGTGGGGCTCGATCCCAGGACCCTGGGATCATGACCTGAGCCGAAGGCAGACGCTTAACCGACTGAGCCACCCAGGCGCTCCTCAGTTTGGATTTCTTAGATTCTTCCATGCCCTCTGTGCTTTCTCTTGAAGTAGCTCCTGTTTGTGCTTCATGGGTGGCTGAAGCCTTCTCTCTGTTCCCTCTGCATCTCAGCTCTGGTGTCCGCTGTTTGTGATGGAGGCCTTTGGATATTTGGGGACAGTTGGCTGTCCTCGGACCTGTCAGCATGAGCTGCCAGAAAGCCATTGGGTGCGTGGCAGGTACGGGCCACGGCAAGCCAGCTCCTCCACGGGCTGGCCTCTGGAGTGTTTCCTCTACTCAGTGTCTCCAGAGAAGGACTCTCAGACTTCTTGCCTGGGGCATAGGCCTGGTTGCGAGGGCAGGAGTGGGCTGGGGTCTCCCATTTTGCGTGTAGACTTTCCTTACCCCTCTTTCTGGCCTTGCCCCTCACTCCCACTGTCCAGCTTGCTCAGTGTGCCCCAGTCTCCTGCAGGGCAGGGGGCAGATCAGTCATCTGCAGAGAATGATGGGGAGGGTGTGTGTGGGGGTCTCACTGCTTCTTAAACAGACTTCCAGCCAGTTTCCCAGGGCTTTTACCCGCCCGCCGCTTGTCCAGGCCCTGGCGGTGCTGGAGCTCAGCAGGGCAGTGGCTGTTCCGTGTGGAGGCCGTCGCTTTCCTCACGCTGCCCTGTTGGCCCTCGGGCCCCTTGGTAGCATCTGTGAGGTCGAGTCACACAGCTAACTGTCACTTCGCCCACTTTTGAGCCCACATTTGCTTTAACCCTGCACGAAAAAAGCAACACTGGGCATATGTCAAATTTCATGAAGAACATCATATATTAATTGAGACAAATAAGGCAGATGAGCTAAATTTTGGCCCTGGTGCTTTGGAGCTAGTATTAAAAGTTCATTGCCTGTTCTTTTTTCTGTACACACAAACACGAGCATAGAGGGGGTGCTTAATACCATTTGCTTTCAGTCCTTTAACAAAGACACATGCCCTTAATAATAATCTTGGCTTTTAAGAAATGTTAGCTACAGCTAGTGTCTTACTGTTCCTTGTAAGTCATAAGTTGTGTCTGTTTCGATGTTGTTGAGGCTTTTAGAGAATATATCTGAAATGATGTCAAGCCAGAGGAAGTACAAATAATACAGTGACCTCTCCACAATCACATTCCAAATCCTTAAAAGGGTGTCTGTGGATACATTACACTGAAGGTGATGTTCTTGCCTTTATAAAGTCAGATTCCTACGTAAGTTCTGAATTCACGCATGCACAACAGCCGAGGTGCCCCTGACGGGTCTGTGCTGAGGCCCTGGGAGCTGTGGTGGTTTTCTTCCTGGCCCGTGTCCTGAGCGCTGGTGACACCATCTGCCCAGGGAAGCTGGGTGTGAGGTGCAGCGCCTGGGGCCTGGCCTTAGAGACATCAAATCTTTCTCACGTTTGTGTGAAAGACAGTCCCCTAAGAAGTGTTATGAGTGTCCTTTCCTGTGGAAAGGGAATGGACAGAATGTGTCCATGCTGTCCTCGAGGGGCGAGGGAGGCCGTGTCTGTGGTGGCTCCGGAGGCTTCTGGGCCAGAGGCGGGTGCCTTGGCCCCTTTGCTCTGTGAGCCCCATGTCTGCACTGTGTGTGCGTCTGTGTTTTTCTCCTCTGTTCAGCCCACGTGGCCGCCTCTCGTCAGCGGCCCTTCTGCCTTCCTGCCCGTTCTTGCTGATTGCTTGCAATCTCTAGGCTAGGAGAGCGGGTGTTGTCACGTCCATGACTAGAGGGTGCGAGGTGAACACGAGTGGTGGGCGAGAAGGCCGTGGGCCTCACGTGTCTGCAGGGCAGTGGCCCCAAGGCCCTCCGGGCTCCTGTCTCACCTGCCGGATGAGGGGCCGCTGCCCGCGAGACAGCGGTGTCAATAGTGAGAATGCAGAGGGAGCCCCCCGGCGGGTGAGCCCGTGGGGCCCAGCACACACGTCTCCGCTGCCATATGTCATTTCTCCGTAAGACCTTTGGTTGTCTTCATCTGAAGTCGTAAACTACTTGCCTATGTCATAATTTCCTGTGCTTTCTAACGTTATTTTTCAATTGTTTAAAAGCTTCAGTTACAGTTAAACCAAGATCTAAGCATCTTGCATCAAGATGATGGCTCATCTAAGAATAAAAGGGGCGTTCTGCCGAAGCACGCTACCAATGTGATGAGATCTTGGCTCTTTCAGCACATAGGGGTAAGAACGCAGGTGATTCCACAGTCAACAGTGCCCTGAGACGCTTGCTTGCTGGCTTCCTTTCTGGAAAAAATGTATTGTCTGCGCCGGGGGCCTGGTGTTGAGTGTCGGTGTCATGTTGACTGTCTCAATGTTAGGGTGGAATGTAGGACAGAGGAGGGTGACCACACTCTGGAGGTCCCTGCCTCAGGGACTTAACCAGGAGGGCCCCGCTGCTGACAAGAGAGTACCTTCCGCTCATGCTAATCATCCACATGCCACGGAGGGTGACCCAGTGAGGTGAGGTTCGAGAAGTGGGCAGAGAGAAGAGGAATTTGGGCAAAACCTGGGGAGATAGTGACGTTTTAGATAGTGGATTTGAGAGGAAGATGTGGTAAGGTCGAATATCGAGCTGTGGACGGAGGGGTCAGCACATGAGCTTGTTGACCTTGAGCCGGCGTTTGGCCCACGGACAGCACCGGCCCACGCACATAGTGTCTGCACACCTGTTCACTCACCTGGGTCATGGCCACACCCTCTCTGTGAAGATGCCCGTCTCAGGGAGCACACACTTGCTCGTCCATTTACTGCGCAAGACTTGCTTATTACCCAGCTGAGACCCTCAGTCCTCTTGCCGCTGAACTTGGGGGAGGCACGTGACCCAGAGCAGCTTTCAGGGGCGACAGCCCAGGCTAGTGGCCAGGGTCAGGACTGACCACGTTGGCTTGCAGGGGAGCGTGTGGTGAGACAGAGGCAGGAAAGTGGCTGCTGTCTGCTGCGTACGGCCCTGTCCAGGTGGACGAGGAGCCCGCAGGGGTGTGGGGGCACAGACGCAGAGGCCTTTAGGTGTCCGGAGGGACGGGAGGTCAGGAGGTCCAGCGGGGTCCAGTGGGGAGCTGCCCGGCAGCCTCAGGAACGAGCTTTGCGGCCGGAGCTTTCCTCCTGCTATTCCCGACTTCTGTGCTGCGTCAGGCGGCCCTGCCCCTTTGCCTCCCTGCCGCTGGCCCCCACTCGTGTCTCTGGTTGCTGACCGTTCCCTCCGCGCGCACGCTTGGGGAGGCCCGCTGCCTGGGCCCGAGGCCTGCGTGTGTTCCTGGCGCCGGTCTCCGTCCTCGCCCTGACTCTGAGCCCCGGGGCCGCTGCCAGTCTCTGTCATCGCCTGTCTTCTGGGCTTTTAGCCCTTGTCACTGCCGACCGGCACCCCCTTTCCTCCAACTGGCGCTAGGCTCCTTCCCCGAGAGACAGCAGTCCTAGGTAGCTGCCGACTCCAGGCTTGGAACCAGCACGTGATGTCGCTGAACAGGACCCCTCTCCCTTTCCTGGCCGGCCCTCCTGGAGCGCTAGGACCCCCAGCTTCTCTTCTCTTCTGCCCTGCCGAGCCGTCCCCGCGTGCAGGACACAGCAGCATGGGTCTGGGGAGGACAGTGCCGGCTCTGAGCGGTGCGGCCGCTTCCGGAAAGTTGTCCTGACAGGGAAAGGCGTTACGGACACCATGGTTCAGCGCTGTTCATTCCAGTGGTGGGAACACTTGGTGTGTTTGCTGGGACATTACACAGCTGGTTCCCATGGTACACGGGGGCTGGGCTGCTCGGCAGACCCGGGCAGGGGGTGGCAAGTGAGAGAGCAGGCTCCCCCGCTGCTGTCCCCCGGGATGGCCCCGCCACGTGCGTGTCCACGCTACAGGAGCACAGACCAGTGTAGGATGGCCATCGTCTTCCCAGTGTCCTTTCGTGTCTTCATAGTTCCTAAAACAGTAAACCCTGCTTGTAGGTTGAAGTAAAATGTTTCTTATTTTTTTTTCCCTATGAGGCATTTTCTGCCTCCTTTGGCCCTTGTTTCTTTGGAACGCAGTCCTCTCCTGCAGCCTTCCTAACACAGGAGGACCGTTACTGCCGCACGGTGGGGTTTTTCCTGGTTAGTGCACTGGGTTTCCTGTCCCCTTTTATTTTATGAGCTTTTAAATGGCAGGCACAGTATTCGCATTTCCATAATCTCTACCTCGGGGCCATATGCGCTGGCATCACCCCGAGTCACTGTCTGTCCGAAGGAACAGACGCCACTGGGGAGACCGGCGTGGCACGACACCGCGGTCACCGGGGTCACCATAGTGTGCAGCGACTGTCCCATTCGCTGAGTGTTACTTATGGTATCTCCTGCGCCCCCCCCCCGCCCCCCAGTGTTCTCTGGGGTCCCGGGCAGTCCAAGATAAGGGACTTCGTTGCACATGGCTTTTAGAGTCATTGTCTTACTGGTTTCTACACGTGGACAGTAATCAGCCATGGAGAAATCGCTTATTACTATAGATAGAAGTGATTTCCTTTGGTCCTTCTGTCAATTTTGATATGTAATTTCTGGCTTAATTCTGTTTTTTTTTTTAAGTGGAATGTTTTCATCATAAAAGAGCAATATAACAGGCATTCCCACCCACAGCCCTGGGCTCGGCTCTTCACAGACCGCACACACTGACCTAGCACGGGTCCTGAAAAGCCATCCGTGCACCCCCGTGTCCCTTTCCTCTCTCAGTGCCTGTGACAGAAACATGTCGCCCCATGTGTCGGGCTAGAAGCAGCCTGCCCTGCCCCTTCCCTGCGTCCCCCTTGTTACCCAGCTGGAGGATGGGGAGTGTGTATACCCTCTGGCCTTGGCTTCCTCATCTGTAGGACAGAGTGACTGTGAGGATCAGTGATTTACTGTAGGACGTGCAGCGTGACACCCGTGCTGTGTCCCCAGTGTATGGCTCATAACTTGGCCTCAGTGAAGTTGTCCCTAAATGACAGATCAGCAGAGTGCAGCTCCGCAGCGGGCAGCGGCTCCCAGCGGGCTTGGCACTCGCCTCACCTTTGAGCCTTCTCCACGCCTTCGCCTGTACTTCACCTGCCGCGTTCTTGAGCGGCGCGGAGAAAGACTTCCTTCCGTTTGGGGCATCTCTAAAAAGAAATTATAAGACAAGAGGTTTTGGCAGAAAGCATTATTGCTACTAACGAGTTTTTTACTGATGATTATTTGTATGTTTCTGTTCTACCTAGATAAGCTTGAGTGCCTTTTTCAGAACTGAAGTTCATGCTAAACCTTCTTTATATTTTTAGCATCCCTACCCGACAGAAGATGAGAAAAAACAGATTGCTGCTCAGACAAATTTGACTCTACTCCAAGTTAACAATTGGTAAGATGCGCCTGCTCTCTAAAATTGTGCCGTCGGCATGATAGAGCCCTCGAAAACACACTAATAAGTAGCGGGATTCGGTTGAAAGTTATCTGAGTCCTTTTAACTAGCAACACTGTGTTATCAGAGTACTGGATAATTGGTGGCAGGATATTTGAGAATAAATCAGCACACACTTCCAACTGAAACATTTAATGCTCACTATAGACCTTTCGTCTACATCCTGCTTGTCCAGTTAGAAATGTGTTTCTCCAGGGGCATCTGGGTGCTCAGTTGGTTATGCGTCCAACTCTTGATTTTGGCTCAGGTCATGATCCTTGGGGTCATGAGATCGAGCCCCGCGTCGGGCTCTGCACTGGGCATAGAGTCTGCTTGGGATTCTCTCTCTCCCGCTGCCTCTGCCCCTCCCCACACTGCTTGTACCTGCACACACGCTCTCTCTCAAAAAAAAAAAAAAAGTGTTTCTCCATTGTGTTACTACTACACCTAAGCCCCCACATTCATTCAGAAACATGATGTTTTTGTCGATGAGCTTCTCTGGGTGGTGCATGGTGGCGATGAGGCATCTTGACCTCTGGTGCCCCCCCCACCCTGCGGCTCCCCCACCTTTGGAAACCTTGTGTCACTTTGGTCAACTCTGAGGGGGGAGGCAGCCCTTCAGCAGGAGTCGGGGTCCTAAGAGGGAAATGCCTGGGGCAGTGTCGACTTTATTAAATGAAATATCCTGTTGTAATTTCGGTATCACATACTACTGTGGACGCTGGGACCCTGAGCACGTACGTTCCCCTGAGATCACAGCTGTTCACCATGACGAAGGGCATTAATGTCGAGGGGTGCACTTCCACTTGTGTGTCAGTCATCTGTCTCATTGGTACTCACTTACTCAGACGTGGGAAACAGGTTCGGCTTATAAAATGGGCATCCATAAAAGAAAGCACAAATTCTACCACTTGTAAACACTGCTACCTTTTTAACTGTTAGAATTTAAACTTGAGCAAGGTCAGGTAAGTTCCCATATAAATGACAACATCTCCCAACATATGCAGTCGTATATGCAGGAGGTATGCTTTGGGTTGCACTGAATATTTGTTATCTTGCATTTGGGCCATTGTTTTGGGTGCCAATAATATAGGCCATGCTCTTTGAATTATTTCCTGTTAAGTCTTTTAAATAGGGTTAGCAAAAACAAAGGTTTCACCTATGTTGCTGCGACATTTGCGATGACCCTAGTACACTCGGTTTCCTCACGTTTCTCGTGTGACACTTCCAGTCTGGGTTTAGCCCTAAGGATGGTCGATTGATTGATTGGGGGTGGACGTTAGGGTCACTTCTTTGGACATTCTGAATGCTTTTGTTGCTGCTCAGCTTTCTTGCTTTTCTTCATCTATTAACTTCCTCGAGCTCCCTAACTTGTGGCTCTATTAAGTTAACAGAATTGTCTGATCTGGAAGGTTTGACGTCGGCTTTTAATTTTTACATTAATAGCAGTTTACTAGCATGACTAGCATAAAATTTCTAGAAACTTTTCATATTTGTAGCTGCTACTACTTTTTGTGACTTTCCTTCTATGTTTACAAAAATCACATGTTGGCCTGAGCTTGAACACCCCATTAGCTTGCACCCCACCACCTAGCAGTGTTGAACGCGGAGGCTGAAGAGGCACATGCTGAGCAGCAGCAGTGGGCTTCCCTTCCCAGGCAGTGGTGGGGTCAGTGCCGAGCTGGGGGCTGCCAGGGCTCCCCGGTGACTTCCAGTGCCCGCCTTGCTTGTGCTCCTGGGACCAGATCATTGCCTGGAGCTCTGTGGCTTCAGTCCCCTCGTTTCCATCAGAGAATGTATCCTCTTGCACTTGAAGATGCTTCTGAATGCTAGGATTTCATTTTATTTTTTAAACTTTATTTAAGTCATCTCTGCACCCAATGTTGGGCTCGCTCTCGGTGGAGACGAGTGGCATGCTCCAACTGGGCCAGGCAGGTGCCCCGTGAGTGTTGGGATGCTAATGTTAAGTGGCCTGGGAGCAGGTGCATCCCAGTTCTGCTCTGCATGGAGAGTGGGGCATGGGGGTCACACCGCCAGGACCAGCCTAGAGCCCGAGTCTCCTGCGGAGCTTGTGTTTCTCTTACACCTTGAACACGGCTCCTCGCTCTCATCAGGGCCCCGCTTGCGGGGGCGAGCAGGCTCGGCTCCGGCAAGAGGTGAAACCCCTCCTCCCTTGTACTCCTAGAGGAGGAAGTGGAATTGCCCCTAGGCGTGGCAGGTGCAGCCGTGACCATATCCGAGTGTGCGGTCCGAACAGCCGCAGACTTCTGGCCGGCGGGGGCGGTGGACCGGAGCTCCGCTGCCCTCCCAGGTCCGAGGGCACCAGCTGGGTGCCGGGAGGGTGCAGGCTGAAGAAGGCAGGCTTTCCGTGCACATACTTAACGTCCATGAAGTGTGTTCCCACGTGCGACCGTGTGCGACCACCGCTCTGCTGGTGCGGGGTCAGGTCCCCGCCGCGGCTGCCCGTCCCTGCCCGGGCTGCCTGGGGCCACTCGCGCAGCGCCGGCACAGCTGAGGGGTTTAGGACAGCGGCCCCTCCGTAACTAGTCCATCACCTGGGGTGGTTTTGAGGGCCGCAGCTCGGGCCCCAGAGCCGCACACGCGGGGGTGACCACAAGTGGCATCGGGCACCATCCGCACCCCGAGGGCCGGGAGGGACGGGACTGCGGGGTTGTGTGGGGTCGCTGTTTGCTGGGTGAGGGGGCGAGATGCCCAGGGCGGTGGGGGCCATGCTCAGCGGGAGGGCTAGAGGAGGGCCGGCCTGGTGACCGGGTCCCTGTGTCGCCCTCAATGCCCAGGTTCATCAATGCCAGAAGACGGATTCTTCAGCCCATGTTGGATTCTAGTTGTTCAGAAACTCCAAAAACTAAGAAGAAAACTGCTCAGAACAGACCGGTCCAGAGGTTTTGGCCTGACTCCATTGCCTCCGGAACTGCGCAGCCGCCACCCAGCGAGCTGGCCATGTCGGAAGGTGGGCTGCCTGGGTGCTTGGTTGGGGGGGGGGGCGGGGCGGCCTTGGCTGCCTGGGACGCTGTGAGCTCTGGGACGCGGGCACAGCTCCAGTGTTTTGCATGTGATGTTATCTGCAGAGCCCCATGACAGAGTCGCACACGCAATGCCTGCGTCTCAGGGGCCCAGTGTCCGCAATGTGTTCTGTCCCATTTTCCCCTTGCTGTGTGTCTTTTCCCTCAGACTTCAGTGCGCAGGAAGGAGCAGTCCCATCCTCACCACCTGGCGTCTGGCCTTTACTTGTTTACCCTCACTGAGCCCCTGCCGGCCTGGTCCTGCTGTTGCTAGTCCCACTGACCGTGCCTCTCTCGGCAGTATGCTGCTACGAAGTTAGGGAACTTTGGGGCCTTTATTTCTTTAGATATATGTTCTGTCGCCCCTCCCCCACCCCTTCAGGGACCCCTGTTGCCCATCTGGTGCGCTTGCCCGGGTTTGAGATTCTGTTTCTTGTTTCTGCCATTTTGATGGTTTCTGTGTCTGTCTTTGGGCTTCCTTAAGCTCTTCTTCTGTGGCTCACCAGCCACCGGTCCCACCGCGGGTGTGTTCCAGGGTAGACATTGTCGTGCTCATCTCCAGAAGTTCCGGGAGAGTCTTTGCTACCTTTCCTGGCGCCACCTCGTAGAAAACAGTCACAGTGACTGTTTTGATGTCCTTCTCTGCGGGCTCTAACACTGGCCGTCCTGCGCTGGTTTCTGACTGAGCTTGCTCCTCACTGTGGGCTGTCTCCCTGCCTGTGTGCGGGCCTGGTAATCTTGACTGGATGCCAGGCCCCGTGACTGTCACCTTGCTGGGGGCTGGTGCTTTTGCACTGAGGCAAGTGCCCCTGAGCTCTCTTCTAGCAGTGATGTTACTCGGGACGCCCTGACCCTCTTGTGCCTTGCTTTGGTGAATAGTCCTTGTAAGGTGACCCAGGGGCGCTCAGTCTCAGGCTGACCACTCAAACCAAGGCAAGACTGGACTGCCCCCGGCCCCCATGCAGCCAGCTCTCAGAGGCCTGGACAGTGTCCTCGAATCTTCTCAGGTAGTTCTCTCCCAGGGCGTGATTGTTTCCTGTCTGTGTGTGTGGGCCTGTCCTCCCCCGAATGTACCCGGGGGGCTTTCCACAGCCCTGCTGGCTGGAGGGCGGGGGCGGGCCTCTTACAGTGGGCTGTCAACCATGCTTGATTCTGTTTCTTGAGTTGTGGTGTGTGCATTTAAAGCTGGGGCTTCAGCCTTTATGCAGTGGTCTTCTATTTATATTTAAATAATTTATGTTTTCAGTTTTTGTTTTCTCTTTTAATCCAAGAATTAGTTACAAAGGTAGTTAGTTCTCTCTCCCTCTCCCCCCCACCCTTGGAAAAGACAATACTGTATTTTGGGGGAAGAAGTTCAGACAGAACTATCCAGTGAAGAGTGAGTTTTTCCTCCATCCTGGCTCCTGTCTTCTCCAGAAACCATCCTCATTACCAGTCGCCTGTCTGTGCTCCCACTGCATATGTGACATGACACACTGTGCACAGACCAGAGTGAACGAATGAATCTCTTTAAAACTGTTTCCCAGGTTGTGGTGTATGACACAGTCCTCTCCCGCCATCACCTAGCACTACCTCTGCAGGCCTTTACAGATGAGCGCACGAGCCCCCCGTGTGTGTGCGGCATGCTCCTGTAGCCTCTGTCCCTCGCTGTTGGGCACACCTTATAACCTTATAACCCGCATGTTATGAGGTTCTTGGTCTCTTTTGTTCTCCGTGCGGCACCTCTTTTCTGCCCTGTGTGTCTGTGTTCGTTATAGTCCTGACCCCTGAGGCCTTCTGTAGACCAAGAGCTTTTAGAGTGTATTAGCTAAGGAAGGGCCGAGGCTGATTCTAGAGACCGTTTCCTAATCCCTGTGGAACGTCCCAGAAACATATATAGGGGTCTTAACACGAGGTCAGAGAAGCAAACAGTACCCCGCCGAGTAACAAAGTGTCTTCCAGCGTGGGTGCTAATTTTAACCTTCTGCCCCAGGAGCCGTTGTGACGATCACCACGCCCGTGAGCATGAATGTGGACAGCCTCCAGTCTCTGTCCTCAGATGGCGCCACGCTGGCAGTGCAGCAGGTCATGATGGCGGAACAGAGCGAGGACGAGTCTGTGGACAGCACGGGGGACGGTGGGGCCGCACTCGCCCCCACCCACATCAGTGGCCTGGTGCTGGAGAACAGCGACTCCCTGCAGTAGGGGGCCAGCGCGGCCCAGAACCGTGGGGCGGGCTGGCCTGACTTTTTATAGTTTGCACAGCAAACATTTTACACAGTTTTATTTCTAATATGTTTTATATGTAGATAGAGAAGAGTGCACTTTTGTATTTCATAGTATGCTTCAAGAGCACCTTTGCTGGTGCAGCGACTTCTTTCAAGTGTGTGCGTGCGTGTGTGTGCGGGTTTTTAAGGAAATTCTTTAAAGGTTTAACGCTAAAAATGTGATGAATGACAAACACCCCTGTGAGCCCCTAATTAGATTAAGGAATAGTGTTGCCATTTTCTAAAAAATTATGCAGTTTTAATTTAGTTCTGTGGTTGAAGCAGGTCTCAGTGGGCTGATTTCTTTGTGTGGCCCATGGATTTGAAAGAAGCTTCTGCATCTTAAAGCTGCCGGCGCGAGGCAGACACCGCACAACAATAAAGTAGGCGTGACTCCGTGGTGGGCGTGCGGCGTCTGAATACGCTTAGGTTCTCACACATTCCGTGAGCCTGTTTCATTTGCTATAGATAAAAAGAAATTCCTATTTTTACCTTGCTGGAATTATTGGATAAAAAAGCTATTTTTATAAATTCGTTATGAATTGGATTATGACTATGTTGAGGATAAAATTTCTAGAGAAGAAACAATACATGCTTATTATTTCGATTTGGAATGTTCTGAACCGACCAAATTTAGTGAACCTGCCCCAAGTTAGCTAGCATTCCATGGTTCTCTGCCATCCCAGGGTAGTGATTTATATTTACTACTATGAAAGAAACAACTGTTGAATGAAATTTTGATACCTGCAAATTTTAGTTAATACGTAAATGCTCAGACTGCATCTTAACACTCGATCTGAACATAGATCTAAAGGTATTGCTAAATAGGACTAGGTAAGTCAGGTGAAGTGGTGGCCAGTAATTGGTTAACAGCTCTTACCACCCGTATTTCTGTCTGATTTAAATCTGACTACAGTTAAATGGTTACTCTGCCACTTAGCTGTGTGTTGTTTTAGGATGTTTTAGTCAGCCATATGTTTGCATAGAATGTTTATTATAAACTAATATAAAATGTCCTCTACCCCACTGGCTCAGAGTGAGGGCCAATAACCCACACTCAGCTCTGTTACATAATTAACATCTCCCCGAAGTGACATGGTGACCCGGCCTGGGGTGACAGCATGACTCTCCCGCCATTGGTCCTGGTGTCCGTTTTTTCTCCTTGTCCGTTGTTGCTTTGGAATTTCCAGAGCCCTCCCCCTCTGACTTGATCACATGAGATTTGGAATAATTTTAGGACTTCTGTTTTCTTCGTGACAAGACAAACCAAAAGAGTAGACTGGGTTTTGTTTCCTTTGTTTTCATGTATTTGCAAGTGGGGCTCTTTCTCAGAGTGAAAACAAGCTACCTTGTTTCATAAAGTCTTCATGTGGTCTTACATGGGATGCCCACAGTTCATGTTTCTAAAGGATAGATTCATGTTTGGGAAAGTCGTCCGTTCTTGAGGTTCACTAGCAGTAGCTGGCTATACAGACCAGGGTGACACTGAAGGGTATTTTGAGCGAGGGCAGACTTTGTTCTGCAACTGATATTTCCCCTCAAAATTTATTGATTAAAGTTAATTACAGAAGAGTATTATTTCCTAGATAACTTAGAAGGCAGTTAGAAATACATGGAAATTTCTCTTAAAATATTTCAGGAGCTTTAGAAGAAAAACTTGACTATCAGCTCTTGGCGAGAGAATCACATTTTTAAGCAGCAATTACATTCCTTATTTATAAACGATTTGTAATATTTTCAGTAAATCTACCCAAGTTTAAAAGATCATTTTAACTTGACCTAAAGTCTGACATTATTGGACTTCTTGAAGTTAGGACCTGTGGAGGCCAGCCAGCCGGCTTCCTCCATCCCCAGTCCCTCCTAGCTGCCCCTGCTCTTCGGCCGAGTGCAGACGTCCTCCCAGTGTGGACTCCCAGCCGGTCACCATCTCCCTCCCTGCCCGGGGATCGCGAGGGCTACACAGACCTCATCAGTCTGGAGACAGGGGAGCCGCACAGCGTCCCCGTCCCCGCCCCCCCGCTGCCGCTGGCCTGAGACTCGGCCTTCCATGCCCAGTGACACCACGTGCTCCCTCGGGCTGAGGCCGGTTTTCTTAGGCTCTCAGTTCTCACTGGCTTCAGAGCACCAGGATGAGCCACTCAGAGAGAGGGGCGTCCGGGCCAGCCCGAGGTTCCTTCAGACGGCCCGGGAACCACAGGTGCTCGCACGCAGCGCGGCACGGCAAGCTGTTTCGGTTCAGGGAACCGCCGCCCAGCGTCTTTGTTGTCTGTCTGCCTTTTATAAAACCCCCCCGTTTCCAGCCCTCGGGCATTCCAGAGAATCTTTGCAAAGGGGACTGCATCAAACGTTCAGTTTCTGTGAGCAGATTCGGTCCTGACTCTCCACAAAAGGATGCTTTGGATGCGTCCTGAGACCCAGACAAAACATGCTGTCCCCCCCTGTTGCGCTGTTGAGCAGGTAGCCGAAGGCCGACTGCGCCTGCAGTGTCCTGACTGCAGCTAGTCCAGTAAGTTCGGTGTTTGTCCCGGATGCAGAGTAAGGGGCGGGGGGGGCAGCCAGCGGCGCGGGCTCGCACTCAGACCGCAGGAGCGGGGCTGCGAACACCCCGCATCCCCGGGGCACAGGGGCCTTTTCTGCGCGGCCCGTCGTGGTCCGGTCCGGTCCTTCCCTGTGGGAGCCAGCGTCAGGGCGCGCTCCTTCTAGACAGACTCGAACATACCCAGACGGGGGGAGAAGGCCTGTCTCTGGCAGTTAGTGACAGAAATAACTCCGCATTCTGCCTTCGTTTTAGTCCTGTTTGGTCTATGAACTGACAATCTTTAAAATGTGAATACTGTAACAATATGTTTTCTTGGATTGTTGTCTTTAAAAGGGATTTTTGTGAAGCAATTGATTTATCAAAGCAAAAAAATTAAAAATAGAAACATGCTTTATGGATGTTTTATTTTCTAAAGCAGAGGTCACCGCAAGCTGCTTTTCCATTTTAAGTAAAACATTCAAATCGTTGACAGGTTTTGCTGGTGATGTGGGGCTTGTAGTGAGCCCTGCACTTTGTTTAAGAATTAGGCTTGTACTGCTCTGGACATTCAGGTCCATTTGCATTTTCAGGACTCTTTCCTTAAATTACTTTCTTCAATTAGTCATTGGTATTCCCAGAAAAAAAATTGGGAAGTTTCTGTTTGTTTTTTATTGTAGTTTATCATAAACCTAATGATTTTGATAGTAATGAGAAAATGATTCATCAGTGAGGTATTGCCTTCCATGGTGCATGTTGTAAAGTGACACCCAAGGTCCTTCTGGACTTGTTGAAGAGCTGCATTAAAACAATTTCAGAGAGTTTTTTCTTTGTAGTCCAGTGTGTTTTAACTCCCTCCAAACTGTTTATCCTTAGAGGCCAAAGTAAGCAGACTTAAGTATTCTTTAAAAAAGTACGTCTGAAATTGTAAATCTTGCAGGCGATGAGGAGAGCCAGCTCCAAAGTATATTGTTCCAGGAAATGTTCTGTTTGGAGGGAAAATGGAGCCTCCGTGTCGTCTCTCCAGCTCCTCTAGGTCAGAATTTTAACCAGGTGAGACCTTGGCCCAGTCTTTGACCCCTTTAGGCTTCAAGTGCTTTGTTCATAAAAGGAAGAAATTGGTTTATAAGGTTTATTCTAGCTCAAAAATAATATTTATAACTAATGCAATTCTACTCATCTATCTAGAGAGATAAGTAAATAAGTAGTGATTTAACAAATCCTGAGAATAAGAAATACATTTAGATTAATGTTTTGTATTTTGTTCTATTATGCAGAGGTCAGCAATAATGTATGTTAGGTTTAACCCCTATGCTGTGCTAATAGGCACTCTGGGACGAAATTCTTAGCACAAATGATTTTTGCCCTTTTACAATGAGATCCTCTTGTCTTCACTAAGATCTAAGATCTCTGTACCATTTTTAAACTAAAATTTGCAAAGCTGCAGAACTGTGGCATCTAAGCCCACGTGACGAGGAGATAAATGGTGGTCTCGGAAGTGGGCCTGCGGCTAGCTTGCCAACAGTCCACCGTCCCCAGCACCCGGGCCCCGGGCCAGCCTCCTCCCAGCAGCAGCTCTTCCACCTCTCCTACAGTCAGTCTGTAAAGAGCTACTTTGTGTGGCTTAATTGAATAATTTAGTATTTTATGTACAGATGGTATTTAGAAGGCATTATCTTGCACAGATGTTTCCGTTTCTTATGTCATTTAAATGAACCCAAAACTTCAGCCTGCAAAAGCCAGTGATGGCTTTAATATAGATGAGGAATTCCCTTATTGCAGTGGTTTGAAAAGGAACATTTTAAGGATGTTGATGGCTTCAATTGCTTAGGCATTTTTTTAGAAAATGGCTTGTGGGGAAAAATTAGGTATATTTTAAAATATGTTGCTTTCTGTTGTCTCTGTTTTCTCTAGTATTAACACAGCAGTCCTGGCAGAAATAAGTAGTGAAGCCCATAAGCGTCTACACTGCGTGTTAGTGTAGACCGGAGATCTGAAGCCCAGAGTTTGGTTAGAACAGAACAGTGGAGTTGAGCCAGAGAAGCCGAGAAAGGCGTGTTTCTAGGATCGGAAGAGGTGTGTGTGGAGGACGTTGGGTTGGGCCCCCAGGAGGTAATCGGGGCTTCTAGCAGAGCAGGGTCAGGGAAGTGGGGTGAGGCAGATGCCAGGGGTCACGGGGAGGTGACTGTGGATCAGCAGATGATGATGAGGGAGCTTGTCTTTGTTACCTTGTGGAAGACCTTTTAAGACCCCAAACACAAAAACAATAGGATAAAACATGAGTGGATTTGGCCAGATCCAAAGGAAACTTTTCTGTTCAGCAAAGGACACTGTGGACTGTGAACGGCTGATGATCTGAGAGGAGTGTTTTTCTGTTTTAGCATCTACCATTGATGAGGAGTTACTATTTAGGTTTAAGGGAAGAGTCCTGCAGATCAAAAAGAAAAAGACTAGAAATCGAGAGAAAAATGGCAGAGGATATGAACCTGCGGTCACTGAAGGGCGCATCTGAGCAGCCAGCAAGCCTATGGAGGAGTGCTTAGCCGCACCATAAGCCGGGCGCCGGAAGTGAAAACCGCTTTATCTCTCAGGCCAAAGTGGGGAAGGTGTTTCTGAGTTTGTGTAGAAATGGGAGCCTCTATCCTGGGGTAGGAGCATCACTGGGACCCCTGCCATGGGGTCCTTCTCACGGTCCTCCAGGGACTCTAGGAAACAGAAGTGTGGTGTGTTCTGGCCCCACCATCCTGGCCAGGGAATTGTGACCACTTCCTGCGTGGACCGCTGCAGAGATGCTCCCAGCAGTGTTGTTCGTGGCCGCAGGGCGTCCAGAAGCACCGTGGGGGTCCGTGCCCAGGGGAAGGGGAAGGCCCGTGTGGTGGGGTGCACCTGCTGGAGGCGGGCACCCCGTACTAGGTGAATCTGACAAGCGGTGTTCTTAGGTCTGGTTCAGAGGACTGCTTCTTCTCTTGACGGGGGGGGGTTTAATCTTTGTTGTGCGGCTCCTAACTCGTGATGGAATGCTGGTTTATCTGGTACAACAGTAGAGACCAAGGTAGACAGTCCTCATGCCCAGGAATGGGCACACCCCTTCTGACAGGCCATTAGCGTGTGTGAGTGAATCTTTTGAACCGACGTGCTGGGTTTAGGTTTCGCCGTTGCTTTTTCACCTTCAGATTCCTCCAGCCAGACCCCTGTCCTGTGTTTCTGCCCTGCCTTCCGCTTGCGGCAGGCCCTGCACACCTGAGGCG